AGGCTCTGCTGCTGCTGCTGCTGCAGGCTCTGCTGCTGCTGCTGCTGCAGGCTCTGCTGCTGCTGCTGCTTCACGGACCTCTAATGCTGCTTCATCTTTTGCGCTTGCTGTTGCTGCTGCTGCAGGTTCTGCTGCTGCTGCTGCTGCAGGTTCTGCTGCTGCTGCTGCTGCAGGTTCTGCTGCTGCTGCTGCTGCAGGTTCTGCTGCTGCTGCTGCTGCTGCAAGCTCTGCTGCCTCCTTTGACTCGGTTTGTTCTGATGGAGCCGATCCCTCACCTGCTGCTGCTGCTGCTGCTGCTGCTGCTGCTGTTGGTGCTGCTGCTGCAGGTGGTGCTGTTGTTTCTGCTCGTGTTGCTGTTGCTGCTGCTGGTGCTGGTTCTGCTTTTGCTGCTGCTGCTGCTGGTGCTGCTGTTACTATTCGTGCTGCTGATGCTGCTACGGGTGCTGCTGCTGCTGCTGTTGGTTTTGCTGCTGCTGCTGCTGGTGCCGCTGCTGCTGCTCGTGTTGCTGCTGCTGCTGGTGCTGCTGCTGCTGGTGCTGCTGCTGCTGGTGCTGCTGCTGCTGGTGCTGCTGCTGCTTTTTCAGCAGTTAGCTTAGGATTGACAGCAGCAGAAGAAGCAGCAGCAGCAGCAGCAGCAGATGAGGCTGCTGCTGCTGGTGGTTTTGCTGCTGCTGCTCTCGTTGCTGCTGCTGGTTTTGATGCTGCTGCTCGTGTTGCTGCTGTTGGCTTTGCTGCTGCTGTTCTCGCTGCTGCTGCTGCTGGTCTTGCTGCTGCTCCTCGTGCTGCTGCTGGTGCTGCTGCTGCTTTTCGTGCAGCTGCTGCTGCTGGTGCTTTTGCTGCTGCTGCTGCTGCTGGTGCTTTTGCTGCTGCTGCTGGTGCTTTTGCTGCTGCTGCTGCTGCCTCTCCTGCTGCAGCACCTGCTGCTTTTGCTGCTGCTGCTGCTTCTGCTGCTTCTGTTTTCTTTGCAGGTCCCCCTGCTGCTGCTGCTGCAGCTCCTGTCTTTGCTGCTGCTGCTGCTGCTGCTGCTGCTGCTGCTGTGCTGCGTTCTCTGCCTTTTGCTGCTTCTTCTGTTTTTGTCTCTGCTAGTGCTGCAGCAGCACCAGGCCACTGCTGCTGCTGCTGCTGCTGCTGCTGCTGGGGGAGGAGGGCGAGCAGCAGCAGCAGCAGCGTCAGCAGCAGCAGCTGCTGCAGCAAGGACGCATGCATGCGGCCCCCCCGCAGCTGTCTTGCTGCAGCAGGAAGAAATCCCATTTGTACAGCAGCAAAATACTTCTTCTCTTTTCTTTTTCTGCTGCTGCTGCTGCTGCTGTTGCTGCTGCTGCTGCTGCTGCTGCTGCTGCTGCTGTTGCTGCTGCTGCTGCTGCTGCTGCTGCTGTATACACTCTGCTGTATGAGTGTAGTATTACTGCAGCACGCCGCCTACTGCTTCAGCCATAGAAGCAGCAGCAAACTGAA